AAGAAACCTATGGTATGCAGGTAAATATGTGAAGGAAAGAGACCTTGGTCTGATTTATAGAATTTTGTTCAGACAAATGTGTTGCTATTATTGTGCAAATAGATATTATATTGCATGGGCAGTTATTTCTTAAATATTCGTTTGTAGTTCCTGCAGCCCAGTTATATATAATGCATTATTACGGTATAAATTTCTATGGAATAGCAGCAGGTGATTGAGAATCCTGATACCCTTTTTTGTTATGTTGTTATGTTTTATATTGTTCTGTTCTGTTATAGATCCTGCATTATTGCAAATTTCTATAGAATAGTGGCAGGCAACTGATTCCTTTCTTTGTGGGTCTCCAGATATCCTTTCAATTGTCATTGACAAAAGTCAGTGCTAGCATTTATCTCTTCTGAAATAGAAGGTATGTAGATAGATAGTGTAAGTCCTAAAAAAAAAAAGGGGGGGGTTGTCATGGTTTAAAAAACAACAATAGTTGCCTTCAAAAACTCAGTACAGTCATGAGAAAGTCTCAGGCTAACCCTTTTTACATTATTTTCCCTTGCCATTAGAGCTTTTGCCTACCATGCAAAAAATTAGGTGGTGAATGGCACAAAGGTGAAATGATGCTGGCCTCTATCATGTCATTGTTATTTTTAGTTGGGGTGGGGGACCATTTCCAGTCCCAGGGCTGCATGCAGCCTCCCACCCACCTGTCCAGGATAACTGAAAACCAATGTCAGAATTTCTCATGATTCTGATACCCCTTGCCCTAAACAGACGTATCACCATCGAAATAAATACATAAATAAATCACATAAAAATTCACAGCCCACCTGTGATTCTGCCCACATATATATGCCACATATATTCTTAAACATTGCCTGTACATTAAAAACATTTAAAAAATGTAATGAACTCACTCAACGGTCTTCTTTCTTGTTGCCAAATATCATATATCAGCATTTGACTGCTGTGAACCAGGTAACATTATTCCTCTGATCTTTGGTGCTCTTCCCTTCCCAAAAATCTAAGAAAACTAATGCAGCCTTTATGACTGGTACACATCTATAGCCTTATCTGACATTAGCCTTATGTGACACTAATCCTTGTTTAAAGGCATATAAATTGATGAACATGACCACAATCTGATGAAGTGAATTTCATAGTTTATTTATTTATTTATTTATTTATTTATTCATTCGATTTATATGCTGCCCTTCTCTGGAAACTTAGGGCGGCTTACAATGCATTAAGCAATAGCCTTCATACTTTTGTATATACCTGCTTAGTAGGGCTTTTTGGCCCTCCCGAGCGGTGTTCTATTTTATACAAAGTCAGCTTATTGCCCCCACAAACTGGGTCCTCATTTTACCTACCTCAAAAGGATGAGTCAACCTTATAAGTTGGCTTGTATACTATAGAAACAAACATTTTCTCAATAAATTCAACCTTTATGAACTGTTCCACATGATGATGCGGCCTAAATTCATATGTGTTAGTGCTTACCAAAATGATATAATTTTGTCTAAACTCACAAACCATTTGTTAATTTTTCTTCACAAAGCTCAACAATTCTAAAACTGTTGTTCTTCCTCTTATAATTAATTGTGTGTGTTTTTAAGACCCATTGTTATTATAGTGAGAGCATTTCCTGCCGTATCTTACTTTCGAATCTTTTAAATTGTTCATGATTACCTGATGGCTTGGCACTTATTGTATGTAGTTTGTTCCTTTGGCTGCATGTCTTGGGCATGCAGGCATTCCTTATTGTCATTGTTCTAAGATTAAGATAGTCCTGTACAGTCCTGTAATTCCCCTTAACCATCTGAGAATCTTTAAAAACTCGTTTTCTGTTCCCCTTTCTAAATTCCAACTTAAGCTACTTACACCTTCCCAAGTTGTGTAAAGCTTTGGTAATATTCAAGGGGTGCTTTCACAAAAGATGTTTTTTTGTAACCAAGCAGCACAAAGCATCACTTTTCCATCCATCCTTTAGGCCCAAAGGGTAGGAAGGGACCCCTGCCTTCTAAGTTGTTCTTAAAGGTGCAATTATGCTGTGAGTGTGTCCATTGTGCCCTTGAAAAACATGACCCCAAATTGAAAACCAAGATCTAGCTGCCAGGAAACTTGTCCCGCCCAGGGATCAGTTGCCAGCTTGGCAGCAATTTGGTTCATTAACAACTGTCTTCCTGGCAGAGGTTCAGCAGGCAGAGTTTTCATTCAGACACCCTGTAATCTATTGTTGTGACAACAACCACAACCTGATGGGTCAGAGTGAAAGAATTGTGCTAAGGAGAGAAAAACAGAAGTTCAGCAAAAGCATCCAGTTGCATCTCTTGTCAACAGTTTTGCAGACTGACAGCCTTTCCCCAACTCTCTCCAAGCGGGGGAAAGGGGAGACACTGTCATCACTGGCTGTCACTGCCAACAATAATGTGGCAATGAAAAGACGGAGGATTTAAGTCACTGGCTGTCTGCCTTCGGAGCCAAATCCACTGCACTCTTCACCCTGCCCCATTGCGTAGAGAATTTGGTCCAATAAAATTGCATTCATCCTTTGCCTGTACCAAGAGGCTCCACAGGGTTACTTAATAGGCAAATAGTATTCTGATGACTCCGATAACAGGAACCAGATTGTTGCTCTTTTCCTGGTGTGAAAGGAGACTCTGCAGTTCATGGGGTACAGTACAGTAAAGGATACTGATTGCGATAGAAGGTACTAGCCTCAAAAGAAGGGGACACGATTGAAGTGTTTGTAGGAATGCCGAATTTTGGGCCATTGGTCAGTAAGGTCATTCCACACAGAGGCAAGAGTTTCAGTTTAAATAAAATTGTATTACTGCATTTGCTTTGTGGTGTTGCATGTTACAGTAACATGATCCTTCATATGCTGGCAGTTGGCTCAATACTTGATTCCAAGAGAGTTATCTAAAGGTGAAATTATTTTAGAAACATTCGCAATAATTGAATAAACAGATGAATTTGGTTGTTTTCCACCTCTCCATTGGTTAGAAGCTGCAGGAAGCAAGTAGGAAAATAAAAAAGGACAAGTCCCCGTTTAAAAAGGGCAACAATCTTTTTCCCGTCTAGGGTAGAAAAATATCCATCGGACTTTAGAGCACAAGGAGATCAAATTTGCAGCCAGTTCTGGAAGACTGGTTGCCATTCACCTGCCAAATGCCCTTTCCTTTTCTGTGCAGATACTCCGGTGAAGGAGTCTGCTTCCTCTGACAGGGAGCTTCTTGAACATGATGAGATGGAAGACATCAATTTGCACACAGTGGAATCTATTAGCGATCTGCACTATGATTCCATCAGAAGTGAGGACACCAAGGCTTCTGAAGGTAATCAAGTAAATGAATGAATGTTTTCAAGAAGATTTGAGGTTATCTATGGCCTTTCATTGTTTGAACTGTTTCTGGCAAGCTTGCGTTGACTGAAGCAGATGGCTGAAGAGCCCTGGGACAGTCCCCTGACCAAAAACCTATTACTGTTTTCTTCCATTTCTGTTTGTTCCACACACACCACCCCCCTTTCTTCTGCAGGAAACAGCCAGTCCCAGGCCACAACTCCAGGGCCTCCACATAAGGCTTCCTTCAAGCATTTCTCCTTCCCAAATGAAGATAACTCAGCCTTTCCCCCAGCCCAGAATTTCCACCTTCTCTCTACTTTCACCTGCTGCCCTTGCTTCAGACCTGCTTGTTGCCCCACTGCCTTCTTTGCTCTCCTTGGAGTGCTTGTCGTGACCAGTCTTGGCTTAGCAACCCTGGCTGTGTACCTGAGTGGTAAGTCTGAAGTTTTGTGGGCTACACCTGGGGTGGGTTTCAGCAGGTTCTGACCAGTTCTGGAGAACCGATAGCGGAAATTTTGAGTTCAGAGAACCAGTAAATACCACCTGACTGGCCCCGCCCCATCTATTCTCTGCCTCCCGAGTCCCAGCTGATCGGGTGGAAATGGGGATTTTACAGTATCCTTCCCCTGGAGTGGGGAGGGAATTGAGATTTTACAGTATCCTTCCCCTGCCACACCCACCAAGCCACGCCCAGATCTGGTAGTAAAATTTTTTGAATTCCACCACTGGGCTTAGTTATTTCCATAAGTAAGGAGATAATGAAAAGTTCAAGGTAGTATCTAATTTGTATTCGCCATAGGGAAGAAAGCATTTTCATTGAGTATTCCCTTTTGAAGTCTGACCAAGCAGAAGTTTTGATGGGAATTCATTATATGCCACAAAGGTTCTTCTGGATAAGTTAAGAGGAAAAACATAGGTTTTTGAATACACACTACTTCTAATCACTCTGCTTCTCTTTTCTTTTTTCAAAATGTAGCTGTTGACATAACATTTATTTTTTCACATTCAGTATGTGAAGCTGTATTTTAACTTACATTGTTGTGAAATAATTTGATATCTACATAGTTATACTTTGGCTTGCCTGTTACATAAATCACATGGAATACTCTTCCCACTGTAAACACAAATATGGAAGCTCATGCTTAAATTTAGCCAGGTGCCTTCTTTGCAAATAAAATATGGTTGCAAGCTTTTGTAAGCCCCCTTCTACCACCAGGAAAGAAAGAAAACAACAACAAACACCAGAATTCTAGGTTCTCTTATCTGGGTCAGCCCTCAGGATTACACCAATTTAGGAAGGCTTCAGAATGCCAGCGTAAATAAGAACATATCTGTATAACATTTAAAGCAGTTTACCAGCTTGCTTCTAATAAACAATTGTTGTCTAAACTGCAAAACCGGGTTCACACGACACAATAAACCCTAAGGGTGATTTGTTTAGATCTTGTGGTGCTCCCTGGTGGGGTGCCTTTTGTTATTTTGGAATGAAAGTATCATCCCCAAGACCAATTAATTTTTCTACTACCACTAAATCCTTTTCTGATTTGGAAATTTTTCCAAATTTTTTTCGTCTCCTTTTCTCTAGATAAGAGGTAACACAATTGGTGGGATGTGAGGATGGTACAGAATAGCAGTCATTTTTTAAAATAACATTTGAACAAACAATCAAATTAACATTTATTATTTAATTTTAAAAGAATTGTAAACAGGCTCCTTAAAATTACAATTCAGGTTAAATTCTTCAGAGTATTCTAGCTGTCACAGTAAGATTACAAAATATTTGTAGACTTCTAATCCTTTCTTCACAATAAATATCCATTCCTAACCCTGTTGCTTTGACAGAGGATTCCTGTGATCAGAGTCTGAGCATCCCTCAGACCTGTCCTTTTACCTACTTATGCTTCCCAAAGCTTCCTTTGCTCTCCCTGAATTTAACTCGGGAGGGAGGGTTACTTTTTTTTGGGGCGTGAGTTCTAATAACCAGTCGCAAGTTTACTGTAGCATGTTAATATAGCCATTGTAATGTCCAAGCCATAGTTCAAAGCTTTCTTCTGCCAATCCAACCTCTTGGGGTTTATTCAGGAAACTCATCTGCAAAGTGAGCACTGTACTTAGTCAAAATGTGAACCATGAGGGAAAGTGGAATATTTCTTCCCAGAACATTAAATAGCTTCATGTTGAATCAATCAGCTTCCTTGAGCTTGGGATGACCCCAGTCCCTCTCAACACCAGTCAAGCAGAGTGACATTTTGACATTAGAAATGGCTGGCTGCTCTATGGTCACCACAGCCCTCTCAATAAGTCCAAGCCCTCTTCAGTCTCCCATCCCCCAAGTACACATATTTTGCTGGCATGGGAAGGCATGTTTCATACACCTAGTTGAGTCTAGTTCCTCACCAAGATGTAAGGAGGGTTTCGATTTCAGCTTGTTATCTCTGCTGACCGGCTTTATCGGCTCAGAGACATGGGACTCGTAATCCAAAATTTGCAAATGGGATAGGGATCTAAATGTAAAGGTTGAGAGGTTTGGATATATCAAGGTGACATGGGGTCATATCAAAATGGTGCAGAAAGAGAAGCCCTATAAACGTCTTATATTAGTCATGTGATTTCTCTTTCTTTTTAGTCTTACAGCGTGAGTCACTCCGTAATCTTGCCCAGTGGCTGGAGTCTCAAGAGGAGGCCATCCGGCAAATGAGAGCTGTGAGTTTACAGCTATGGAGACAGCTAAATGTCAGTGAGGTGGAGGTCCAGACCTGACCTGAGCCAGACTTCCATCCTCTCTTTTGGGGAGGCTTAGTTCCAGAGCAGAAGAGTGGAAGCCAACTCATTGCTTTGCCAGTTTGAAGGAAATGGAGCATGGTGGCTTGGATGATCTAATCTCTAAAGCCAAAAGCAGTCCTACAGAAGCACTGAAGGGTCTTCCAGCTGCTGCAATCTGTAGGACAAATACAGGGCCACTTGAGATTGTCCAGGGAGGACACTGTGGGGCAGATACCTGACCAAGAATCCTATTAAGCAGGCTTCCAGCAGCATAACACATGCTTTGTTTCCCATTGATTGCAGTACTTTAAGAGCTACTATTGAGCACCTTTTTCAAAATGCACTGCTCAATTTGGTATGTTTTTTTTTTTTAAATAAAAAATGTTGCAGATAGGGATGTGTTTGAAGAATTATAATTAAAAACCTTAGGTTTCTTTGATCTTCAGGTTTTGCTGAAAAGGGGGTTCCATCTATAGAAAAGAGACCGTTAGTATGTAAAGAACAAGACTTGGGCACAGAATCCAGTTATTGTCTTGGGTTAATAAAAGAGGGGGGAGAGCATTTGTTATCAGCCCTGAAAACTTTCTTCAGAAAATTTCATTCTTTGTTAAGTGTAACAGAAATCAGCCACACAAGCAAAGCTATTTCCTACCTAGCTCTCCACAAGTCAAAATAGGGATTAGGGATAATCCTGTAGCTCAAACCAAGATTATGAATATGTACAGATTATAAATTTCCTACCACCAAATTTAAATTTTGTTTTTTGTTTTTTTTTTAAATAGGAGAATGCCCGTTAGAAAAATGCCTGTGGTCACCCTTTTGTTGAACAATGCTAACTTTTCTTTGGAAGCAGAGAGGATAATGACAAGGTATTCCTTTTCCGAAATTAGGCTAGGTTGATCCACACAGCAACACCGTCACTTGCCTGCTGCCCTTGGAATTGAAAGAAGGGATGGCAATGCAAAAATCACACCCTTCCCCTGCCTATCTTCAGCAATAGGGCTAGATATATTACCGCTGGCCAGAGTTTAATGTAGATTGCAGGACAGAGATTGGAGGATTCCTTTATTCCCTTCCCGATTGCTCAGCTGAGCATACCGGCAGACAAAGTAATTGGGCGCTAGACGTGGGAGGGCTAGAGAAGTTGATGCGGTAGTACTACGCATCTTCAGAGCAATTTTTTTGTGTAAATACTATTCCTTCAAAGTCATTCTGCTCTGCTCCTGAAGGAAGAAAGCATGCTGGGAACAGTAACATTGACCTGACTTGCTAGAGATGCAATGTGGATGGAATTGTTCCACCAGCAAAACTGCAATCACTCTGTGGTTCAAACTGAACCCCTTTCCCAACCTCTTTTCTTCACAGTCACACACCTACCCAAGCAGTGGCATTAGTGGGAAAGTGGGAGGGTCCCAACTGCTGCAGGTTTCCACCTGATGGCTGCTGGTGAAGATGGTTTCTTAGCCAAACTCTATGTGGCTACAGCACCATGGTATTGTAGTTGTGCTTTTTCAACTTGTACTTCTTAGCGAGAATGTAAAGGTGGGAAGAGCTGGAAGTGGAGGCAAATCCTGGCCTCCCTGACTCATAGCCTTGTGCTATGGGTGAGGGACAGAGGGCCCATCAGAGATGCTGCTTCTTGCTGTCTCACAGATAGTAAAAAAAGGTTCCCCTTGCACATATGTGCTAGTCGTTCCCAACTCTAGAGGGTGGTGCTCATCTCCATTTCAAAGCCGAAGAGCCAGCGCTGTCCGAAGACATCTCCGTGGTCATGTGGCCAGCATGACTAAACGCCAAAGGTGCACGGAATGCTGTTACCTTCCCACCAAAGATGGTCCATACTGCACTATATACCATACTGCACTAGATAGCGCCCCTACAGCAGGAGTGTCAAACTCAGGTCGGCACAGCAGCATCCCATGACAGATCGCAACTTACCCTCCCCCCCTTTGCTAAAACGGGCGTGGGTGTGGCCAGTGCATGATGCATCCGGCCCGCAGGCTGAGTTTGACAGCCCTGCCCTACAGCATATCTTTGTCTTCTGCTGCAGGACCCACAAGAGAGAGAAGCCCTGCAGGCATTCTTCTCCCCTGGGGAAATAGTTCTGCTTTCTGCTTTCCAGTAAGTGTTCCCATTGGTAAGAAGATTTTTTTTTTTTGGCTTTGTTCAATGTTTTCTTAAAAAAAATTATACAAGAGATGTCCAGTCTCTTGACAGTCGAATTAGAAAAGGTCACAGAGACACAAGGCCCAGCAGCTACTCAAGCAGTGTTGCAATGGGCCAATGAGTGACCGTTGGATCACCAACTTGTTGACTCTTCTCCCACGTGACCTAGAATGGTTCCAAGGCTGATTTCCAACCTTTGTTGACTTCTCCCCCTGACCTTGAATGGCTCCATGGCAGATCTCATTGGAAAATATCCCCCTTCTTTGGGAACACCTTGGACTGGTTTCAACCTGCTTCAGTGGTAGTCTGGCAAGAAGACGGAGACTCCAGAGTGGAGTTATGTTCTCAGCAAATGGCAATCAGCTTCAAGTTAGGGTAAGGAGATTGTGTGGGAGATCTCTGCTTCTGCAACCACCATTCAAAATGCACTGTGACATAAGAATATGCAACTGGTTAGAAGCAAATGCAAAGCCAGCAAGGAGCTGCATGTGCATTTGAAAGGCTACATCTTGGTAATCTGGATGGGATGCCATCAGGAACAACATGTACAACAGGATTGTACATGGGGCAGGGAAAAAGCAAGACACGGAAAGCTGTCATAAAGCACTTGCATGTTGTTGGAAAAATTAAGTGGGGATAACTATGAAATCATCAAGAGCTGGCCTTGGCTCAGCTTTGCCTTGAGTTTTTTTTTTCTTTTGAACCTATCTAGGACTAAATTGTTATTTTTACTTCAAAATCAATCTCTCTTTCTCTCTCTCAGTCCAACTCACCTCACAGGTCATTTTTGTGGGGGAAATCAGGAGTATTAGGTATGTTTGCTGCCTTGAGTTACTTATAAAGTAATAAAAGAGGGATAAATAAAATAAAAAAATAAATAAAAGTTGGTATTTATCAAGGAGACATTGAGAATATACAGGCATTTTTCTGATAGTCATCCTCCTGAAAAAAAAACAACAACAATTTATTCCTATAGCTAATTGCTGCTCATAGTCTGAAGTCCAGCAGATCAACAACACAGATTTCTCTTCTGGGAAAAACAGGCAAGGGAGGCAGTATATTAGACAAAAATCCAAATAGATTTTCCGAAAAAAGAGTCTTATTAACTTCCTTTGCATATCACTTACATAAGTGCTATGTTTGTGTTCCTTTCAATGACGTTTTCTGAGGAGCATGGCGGTTTAGCACACCATATATATATGTGTATGCTCTGTGAAATCTCAGTGCTTTTAAAAAAAGATATGTCTTAGTGCATCTCTACTAAGTCAACTTTGCCTTAGACACAATGATTTTGACCGGGATAGGGTACCGAACTGGAAATTATCTGGGATAAAGAACTGGATGCATGGGAGTATAAGTATGCCTCAGACATCCCCCTCAGCAGCCATACAATTTCCTGATCCATTTTATGTGATTTAAAAGCATATTTTAAAAATTAAATAGAAAGTTCTAGCACCGTATTTATTTATGACAACTTTTGAACTGCACAATGACCCACTGGGGTGTCAGAGAACATGTTGGGGGAGAACATAAGATTCACTTTTGGGCATATAAATTTAGGTGACTGATCATGTTAACCAACGCAGCCATTTTGTAAACAGACTAATGTCCTAGTGTCACCATTTTTCTCAGTATGTACTTCAGACACTTCAAAATTACAAATGTGCCCCTGACTCAGAAAGGTTGCCTAGATTAATATTTGAACATTGTTGTTACATCTGCAAATGCCTGCTGGCAAAAATCAAAGTGAAAAGTTAGCCAAAAATGAAGTAGTTACAAAGTGAAGCACCACTGCCATGGCATTATGGATTTTTTTCTCTCCCACTCCAAAATGAATAATAAAAACAAAACTAAATCAATTGTGGTGTCAAAGGCCTGCTGCTTTTTTTTAAACCAGACCATAAACCAGAGAACTTCCTCACAATAGGATCGATTCTTCCTGTCTGGACAAAAGAGGAATGCTCAGGCCTACCAAAAACCCCAAACACAAGGAAACAACTTTTTTCAGCCTGAGGCCCAGCTTTGTTTGGCTTCTCCTTTTGTCTTCAAAATAGAGTAGTTTCCCATTAAAAATAAATAAGAAAGTGAGGAGCAAAGCTGACTCCCAAAGAGCAGGAAGAAAACGACAAGTGGTGATAAATAGGATAGAAGAATTTGGCCAACAATGTTAACCAACTGTGTCAATAGAGAAGAGGTATAATTTCTTCATGTGCTATCAAGCCTAACTTAATCATCTACACTGATCTGTAAAGTACATTTTATCCTTCTCACAGCAAAAACACCAGAGGGGAAAATCCCAAGGCACCCAACCTCAAACCAGTCCTTTCGCAGCCTCCATTTTGGATGCTGCTGTTGATAACCTTATCCTAAAACTACCTTCTGCACCAAGTCCTCACTGGGAAAATTCACAACTGCAGGAGGCAAAGGGAGAAGTTTCAGTCTTTGATTAATACATTCAGTAATGGAGATAGGGGGAAAGGGGTTAAAAAATTACTGGCTTAAAAAAAGCAGCAGGGGTGAGAGAAAAATCTCCCCACCACCTAACCTCGCTTAAATTTTTGGTTAAAAAAATAAAAATGGCGCCTGCCCATTGTCATCCCACCATAATTCAAACATCCAAGACATTTAAATATTATTCTGTACATATATAAAAGCCCCCAAAGAAAGGTGGGGGTGTTGAGGGGGACAGGGCCCAAGCCCAATTTTTCAATGGGTTGAGGCCATGTGGGGGCTTCTGCCTCAAGATCTCTCCACACTTGCAAGGTTCACAGTGGTCCAGGTCTGTCGTAGTTCATTGGCTTCTATGGAAGGCAGGAAGAGGAGAAGGGAACAAGTCCTCAGAGGACGTCAGCTCGCTTATCTCGAACACGGCTCCTTGCTTTCGTTCGGGCTTTGAAGGCAGCTGAATTATACAGGTGCTGGGGCAGCCAGAAGGAGAAGAGACATATGTCACAATTAGCTCAAAAAAGTGCTAATTAAGAACACTCAGAGGTCACAAATCATGGTCTAAGTCTACCACACCCAAAGTAATTTCTGTTGTTATAGTGACACTGAACCCCTTTACATCTTGTAGGACATTCCCCATTATTAACATAATTCTGAACCAAAGAAAGAACAGGAAATTCTGTAACAGTAAGGACAGAGAAGCCTTGCTAGAACAGCACAAAGATGTTTAGATCAAAAATTTTCATTAATTTCTTCAACTAGTAAGGTTACATAAATCCTAAGGGTGGTGGTGGGGGCTTACAAAAAATTAAAAACAATCATAAAAAAGCCATGTCAAGACACTCAAAATTAGTTGGCAGCTGAGGACCCCAATCAAAGTACTACCATGTCCCCTAAAGACAAACTCTGCCCTAAAGACCAAGGAAACAGTCAGACTTGCCAAATCTAACGAAAGGGCAAGAGGACCGAGTGATCCAAATCCTGGGATGAAGTGATTCCAGAGGAATAGAAGCTTCTGGAACATTCAGAAGCAATGTTTGCCCCCAATACCTGGTTTTTAAATATAGCTGGCGCATTGCTTAAAATGAGAAGTCTTTTATTTTACACTAGCATCTTTCCCTTTGAGGCGGTCTTCTTAGTTCCCTGATATCAGAGAAAACCACAGAGAGCCTAAATAAACTAAAGGAGAAACCGCTAGAAATATCAGCAGGATTGATGACCTACCTTCTCAAAGCGTGAGATCTTATTCGCTTTAACGGTGGCTGCATCCAGGACTAGTGGCGGCCCCAGTTCAAATGTGTCCCGTAACAACTCATTGTTCTGGGGTGAGAAGTGCAAAGAGAAAGGAAGGCCATTAGCTGATATATTGGGAGAGATTGTTGACATAAGCAGATCCCTAGAGCTGAAGATCAGTTTTGCATCATACTGTGGTGGTCCACCGCTGAAATCTTATGCCTGTTTCACTATCCACATTTAAACTGAGCAGCAATATTTAAACACCACTGAGTCAAGATTAGTTCCTGATGATTGTATAGATCAATGCTTGCCATCTTGATTGGCTTCCCATAATTACCCAAAGCTGTCCCAAGCTACTATCTCTCAGTAAACCCACACACATTCAACATCTGCTTACCTGCAGGTGGTGTCTGACACCAGAACCAAGAGCCTCTTTGAAAGCATTGTATGTTCTTCTCCTTGCCCAGCTGTCCACATACATGCACTCCAGTCCAAACTTGATGGTCTCCTCATGGCACTCCCCATTCTGGAGAAGGAGAATATATTTTTCGGGATTTCAAAAGAAGAGCTTTCGTTAACCCCACCCACCTCACTATTGAAGGGTGACCCTTGGGCTCCTTTACTTCCTTAAATGCTTGGAAAGCCCTGAGGCTTCCTGGATGCTGAATGCAGGGACAAACATATAGGATTTTTTTAAGCTGTGCAAGAGTTTATCAAGGAACTGCCAAAGAGGGCTCTGAACAGTCACAAAACAGCTTTATGATAATACCCTAAAAACAGGATAGTATTGTACCGCCATCTACCTACTTGGGATGGGTATTATGATAAAGCTGTTTTGTGACTGTGTTTTGCTTCTTTTATTGCAAGGAGCTGTACAAAGCACAATCACCTTTCCTCAGCTCTGGATGGGAAGGGAGGAAATCTCTAACAGATGTCCCTCCTTTCTAGAACAAATAGGATTTTAAGGTAAACACTGGAATCTATTTTCTATACCTAAACTTCAGCCTTGGAACATTTAGGTAACATGAAAAAGGAGGAAATTTCTCCCAAATATGCACAGAGTATCTGTTCCTCAAAAGTGAACAGTCACCATCTGGATTACAGCTGGAAGAACATTCAAGTCATTAGGTCCCCTCCTCACTGCAAATGGAGGCTTCATTCCTGACAGATGATTCTCTAGCCAAGATTCCCAAGCATTCATTTTATTCGAATGCTTCTGACATTTGGGATTATGAGAGTGTAAGGATCTGAAATAAAAGTGCCTGAGGGTCTTTTGAAAAACCAACAGCCATAAACCCTGCTAACAGAAGTGGGGGGTAGAATGCCTTCTGAGCCACGTTTCCCATCCAACCTCCCACAATTCCAGTTAGCACAGCTTTTGTAGTGTCCATTAAGCTCTGACAGGAAGAGGCACCTCAATATAATGCAGGATATCACGGAAGATGGAGCGTTGCTTGCGTCGATCTGTTTTGGCTCGATACTTGTTGCTGTCAGTGGCCAAGGCTTTTAGTTTGGTGCACAGCAGGTCAGTGTCCTCATAAAAGAAGTCCTCCTGGGGCCAACATGAAGACAGATGTTAAACCTTAAGCTTAACTGTAGAGGACACAGTCTAAGCAAAGGCAACCCATCTTGCTTGCGAAGAAAGGAATAAGCCAATCTCTTTCAAATGTTATTATTTTACTCTTCCCTATAAAAATGAGAGGCCTACAGTGGATGCTGGGTTGGTTATGACTTTTCCAAAATATCACCTATATCTCCATTAAAATAGGTTTTAATATATGTACTTAAATATGTTCAAAATACGGAGAGATTATTAATCTTGCATAACATCTCACACCTCTTGAAGTGAGATAACTGAAATCTCATAATGTTTAGCTTGTTCATAGGATTTCAGCAATGCAGGAGGGGATGGGGCCTCACTCTAAGATCAGGTAAAATTAAAGAGTTACCAGCGTCGGTTCTGGTTCTTAGGATCTCCTGTGCAAACAAACTGATCAAGCTCACATTTAGTTAATTAAAAAGGAAATGGTATCTATTGATTTACCACAGGCTGTTAATGAGAATACAGACTCACAAATATGGAGTAAGGGTGCTTTTTTATTCAATTTAGGCTCCAGCTTTGGCAGGAGATCATTCTGCTTAACTAAGTTAGAGCTCAATGATATTAAGTCCAAAGTTATGAGTTATCTACATTCATTCATCCAAACCACTACAATGAGCTCCAAGGACCATAATACTTCTGCTGTCATCCTGGGTGTCATGGTCTAAGGGCCAGGCTTCAAGTGTAGGTAGATTAGACCCTGCTGGGTACTGGGCCTGCAAATTCATCAGTGGCCAGCCCTTCCTCTACCAACATCTAAACCTTGCAGACAAGTTGAGTGCAATGGATTCCCTTCTTTTGCGGACCCTCTGCTCTGCAGACCCAAAGCATCTTGTGAATAAGTGGTAACCTGTCGATTCTTCAAGCAAGCCAAGTGCCTTATTGTCAGCAATAGCTGAGTAGGAAAAACTTTATGCTGTGCATCATAATGGGATGAGGATTTAAACCGCATAGAAACTTCCTTTTGTTACTGGAAGCAACTTTGACATATAGTGTATCATGCTCTGATTTCACGCTTTCTCATTCCCATCTCCTCCATTCTCAACTTTGGCATGCTCCTGACTAAGCCTGTGGCTTTTCTCTCAAGGCGTTATGGGATTACGAGTGGTTTGACTTAGCTTTGCAGCTCCTCCTCTGACCCTGGCGAGCCTATTGAGCACACACATGCTTTTTGCTTCTCCTTCCTAATTCCACTCCTGTTTTCATGGCTCATCTGCTTCCACCGTGGCTCTTCATTGTTTTTCTGCCACTGCTACTCTTATCAACACTCTCCTGGTGTGGGTCCAGCAATAAACATCCCCTCAAGCCTCACCCACAAATACATCCTTCAAACTGCCTGCACTCAAGCTTTCTTTTTGACACTCTCTCGCCTTCCTCTTGCTAGTTTTCTTCTAAAGCTCACTCCCCTGCATGTGCTTGGCCCCTAGTGACTCCAAAATCTTGCACATAGTTGCATGCACCACACCTGCCTGCCTAGTGCATGAGTGTTGGTGTCCTTAGTTAGGACATGCTACTGGGAAGTCCAGAATGAGCAACTAGATGTGCCTGAGAAGGTAATGAGTCCCATAATTGCTCACTATCCACTAATACTTAATACTTCATTAGCCTCAACACAATGGACCTATAAGGCATATTAACTGGAAAATGCTCAATACAGAATTATATGTTTTTGTGCATGTGTGCATATATACTTGAAAGAGTCGGAATAGTAATTTCATACCTCTATGTCCCGGGCCAGTTCAAATAGAAGTGCAATTGTTTCACCTGCCACAATCCGCAGGTTGACATTATCACTGGAGAGCATCAGAGGCAGTTTAGGTAAATGTCTGTGGAAGAAAATAGTTAAAGATGACAAATGAAACAATGAAGGGAAGAATCATCATAATCAATCAACCATTTTTACAGCGAGGTTGCTGCTATATCTTTTTTGCAACAATCATCCTGTTCTCTGCATCTAAAAGATCTAGGCAAAGCTAACTGTGCATTCTCTACAGTGAAGCACTAAATCCTGGTTTCTATACGCCAATTACAATGAAGAAGGTTTTCCTACACCTTAGAAGAAATACTGCCTGATAAGATCAATAAACTCACTCATCCAGGATCTTCTTAATCTGGGTGCTTGGACAGATGGTGAGGAGCAGTGACCAAGACTGAAGCGCATTGCAATGCAAGATCTGGAGCAGAGGACTGTGATGGGAGGGTGCCAAGCTGGCATCCTTGCTGCATGAAGTGCCAAAGATACCTTCCAGGCAGACCAGACAGGATACCAGGTCCTGAAAAAAGGAGAACAACCAGTCAGTTCTCACAAATAAAAACGCAATAAGCTAAACAAGCTCTAGTTACCGTATTAGGGGTCAGGGTGTGATGGCTTCCAGTTCCTGACAACTATTGACTAGTCCAACAGCTAATCTGTACTTGGCAAAATTTAGGGACAGGGATTCAACAAGCTCATTTTAAATCCCAACCACTATGCTTTCCAAATAACCCATGTGGTATAATGGACACATATACTTCCTCAATCTAGTGTCTATCAGATGTGGTGGATCTCAACTTTCATTTTCCCAGATAGCACTGGGGTTAAAGAGGTGAAAACAGTGGTCTCATACATCTTGAAAGCTCCTGGTAAATGATGGATAAGTAGACAACATGATTCACATGATTGTCTACTTCAAGGAAGAGCTGATTCACATTGTCCTGTGAATTTCATCAGGTAATTGGGAGCAGTCACTGTTTCTTGATCTAATCTATTCTAAAGAGTTGCTCTGAGGATAAAATGAATACAGAAACTAAGTCACCATAAAGGCAGGATAAAAAAGGAACCAACAAATAGACTCCCTAATATAGCATAATAAGTCACCTTTTAGGGAGATGGACAGCATAAACATTTAATAAATTTAAAAAATATAGACATTATTCTAAGAATTCAGACTAACACTCTTCATAAAAATGATGCTTACTGCACTGACAGAATCCCATTTCCCACTCTATTCCAGAAGTTTGGCAGGAATTAATAGAAAATTGAACATATCCCTCTCGAGAACCACCTTAGAGTTCTGCTGTTAATGAAAAGAGACAGAACATTCCAAATTCTGTTTCTCTTAGGACACCCCGGATGAAGAACAACATCAGGTTCACATAATGCAACTGATAAGGAGAGACATGGAGGCAGCCGCAAGGGAAAGCCTGCCATTTATAGCTTTGTGGTGCTCTCCGAGCTTGGTTGTTTGCTTGCAGACATTCCGTGGCCAGACTAGGTAATATCATCAGTGGTATAGCTTCCCAGTTAAAGCAGTCTTTCCCAGTGGCAGCACAAGAGAGCTATCAGGCTAGCCCTCTGCTAATTCCAACCAGTGAGCCCAAACGCTGAGAAACACTGGCATACCTCCATATCCGCAGCAGCAATATAGCAGCACATCCCGAGAGCAGTTGCACACTGTCAGTGGGGAGACAAAATAAGAGAAGGAAGGAAGGAAGGAAGAAAAGGTGAAATCATTCAGATGCATCTCCCTCCCACAGGCCTTCTGATGCCTCACCCTTTGCTACAAACCAGAGAAAGAGACAATACTCACACTCTGCCGAGCAACAGGGCTGGCCGAGGAGTCAGTCAGGATGGTGATGAGGAGCGGCTTCAGGCTGCGAAAGATCTCTTCCCCTTCTGGCCCAGAGCCCATCTGAAGGCACAGTAGTGTAAGAACGGTAGCAGCAAGGGCCTGCTCCTCCCCTTTACCTGGCAGGGAGAACAGATACAGAACTATTAAGGGGCTCCACACCAGGAAACGAAAAAGCAGACAACAAACATCAGACACTGGAAGCAAAAGGACATTGGATACAGTGGGGGACACGGGACACACAGTATGGTCTCCTTTCAGTTTAGGCACAACCAAACCTTTTTTTGATTTTAAGACTGTGAGTGACTTGCAGGACATAAAGAGAACAACAAAAGCTAAACCAAGGCCACAGATACATGCATGTCTGATGTAAATGAATCCAAACATTAATATGGGACATGTGTTTAATTCCTTGGCCATCAAACACAGGAGATCCTCCTATACACCTCTACACTAATTCAGCACAGGTGGAAGAAAACCAATTTATGATTGTCGTAAGACACCTTTTGTTTCCCCTCTTACAAAAATTTTAAGCAATTAAAAGCAAAAGTTGCCATTACTTTGGAGAAATGCCATGTTATTATTGGCTTCTATTTTCAGTTTGATAATGGCAGTTATATCTGTCTGCATTCATGGCTACCCTGTTTCCCCAAAAATAAGACATCCCTGATAATAAGCCCAATCAGGCCTTTGAGCGCATGTGCTAAAATAAGCCCCCCCCCAAAATAAGCCCTCCCTGAAAATATTTAAACGCATGCGCAGCTGGTCGCTGCCATTTCCTCTGGTTAGGGTTAGGGAGCCAGTGCTGGAAATCAGGTAAGATGGCAAGAGGAGCCCCGTCTTGCTCCACGTGCCCCAAAATAATAAGACCTCCCCAAAAATAAGGCCAAGCTCTTATTTGGGGGTTCAAAAAATATAAGACAGGGTCTATTTTCGGAGAAACACGGTATTATAAAACTAACTTGAGCCTTCCCAAAAGGATACCACCTCCCAGTTTCACAGAGTAAGCAGAGGCACTTAAGAGAATGAAGTTAAGACAACATGCAAAGACAGGAGCTCTTGCTGAATATTTCATTGGTGTACAAGTCAGCCTCATCTTCCATCCCAACAGCTTCAGAAACCAACTTATCTTACAAGATCTTTGCAATGATTGGTGAGATCACATTTGATACGCTAAGTATTTTACTAGTTCCAAGTGTCCAATTACAGGAAGGGTCAAGTTAAAAAGTGACACACTGAAGAACTAGCAAAGCAACAATTAACACTATTTCAAGCCCAAATGATTTACAATGGGAGAAAGTGAAGCAGATGCTTAATTCTGCCTTTAAACTAAAAACTTCTGAAGTATTTTGACTTCAGTGATTCAAGTCCCAAACGCTGAGATCTTGGGAAGTTCACCTTTCTTCAGGCACTTCTCTAAGGAATCTGTGACAGTTAGCCTGCGTTCCAACAGGAAGTCAAAGAGCGTCTTGGAGGAGAATGCTAGCCGCAGGCTCTCGAGGGCAACCTGCCGGGTCTTGGCACTAGAATAGCAAAAAGATGGTGGGGTGGAGGGTGAGAAAGAGAGAAAGAAAATGAGATATGACACCAAACCATCCCTGTAAAATCCTCCCCCCTCAATCATCATGAATGCTAATGATGCATCGTACTCAAATATAATGAGCTATTTAACCTGAGATAGCTCAAAAAGCACCACTGGGCAAAAATTGCCAACTTCTGGATACGCTCAGACACATTTGCCTAACTGCTCCCTGCCAATCACATGCCAAAACCCTAGCCTGCACTAAGCCTCTCAAGCCCTTCCCCAACACATGTGTGACCTGCATTGGCCTTAACCCGGCCTTCCGCTATCCCCAACCACTGCTTCTTACCTGGGATATCCGTTTACAATATGCATGTCTTGGGATTATGACAGCAACAGGGATTGCTGTTATAATGCAATATGATCATGTGACGTCATGCTAGAATAGCCACATCACTTAGCAAAGGCAATCCCAGCCCCATTTGTAACTCCAGAACTACCTGTAATTCTTTACTCTATTATTCCAGAAACTTTGTAGACTGATATTTACTTCTGGGAGCAAAATGCAATCCAGAAGCACAGCTGGCAAACCCCAGGAGCCAAAGTGTGAAGATATAACCATTTTCTTCAGCATTCACTATTTCAGGCTCCAAGGTGGAATAAAGAAGAATCACTGAAAGTTATCAGCATATAGAGGATTATGTTGATTTTTTGTTGTTGTTAAAAGGATGAGAAGGAGAAGAAGTGGGAAGTTATTGTCCAGAGTTCACTCTGTACAACTGAGAAGCTTGGCCATAAGGGCAGCAGTAATTCGTGCAGTGCAGATCGCTGTGCCAAGCGTTCAGTGAACTTTGGCCAAATCTTTTCAATGGATCTGCATCGAGCCAAGCCTGGCTGGTGCGGTAATGATTTTGGCAAAGCTTCAAGTTTCCTATGTGGTAAAAGGAAACTCGGATCTCCAAGCGCAGGGTCTTATGTAAGCAAAATGAATTACACACAAGTGGGAGGTGCAAGTAAGCTTGAGTGAAGCTTCATACTTAATTCCACCCCTTTCCCTCCATCCTGTGTATTTAATCAATCAATCAATCAATCAATAATAAAAAAACCACAAGGAAGGTAGGAGAGCAGCACCTCCTGAATGAATACTGCTCATCCTCTGTGAATGGATAGGTGAGGACTAGCTCTTGGCTGGGAAGGGCCAGAAGAACTGAAAACCAACGGGAAGATCAGAAAGGACATAGCTGGCTAACACTCCAAGAAGAATCCAAGTTTTAATGTGGAATCTTTGGTGCTCTCTGAGCTTGGCTGTTTGCTTGCAGATGTTTCATTACTTGACTAAGTAACTATCAGTGCTAGTGAGTATGGGGTTTGCTTCCTGTTTATGTCTATGGAAATTCTCAGTCATCCAGGTCATGGTTGTCCCAAGGATGCTTTTTCAAGAGGCAACTGGACTTTCTGGTTTTTCTTTGAAGATGTTTCACTTTGGTCATTTGCATTCTTTGCAGTTTTCCTCCCAGTGTGAGGATATGATTTTTCCCTACAGTAGGTATTTCCTCAATTAAAGTACTGTGTTATGCTTGGTTGCCTAGAATCAATCCTTGCTTATCTGGATGTTTGTTGCTAGAGAGGATATGTTCTGGTTATTTTTGTTTCCTTCTCAGATGTTTTTTTTAATTGTCTCATTTGAAGGGTGTGTAAATGTGGTTTAGCTCTATTTATCTACTGATGGCTGATTAGTCTGAATGCCAAGCTTCAAGGAATTTCCTAGTCATTTGTGATTTGGTTTGGTCTAGGATGAAGCTCCCAGCTGAAGCTATAGTTGACTCTGTCCATGAGTTGTCCATGACCATGTCCATGTCCATGTCAAAGTACGTCCATGTGAAAAGAACTGAGCAAACTACTGTATAGAAACAGGGAACAAACTCCACAATTACCAGCACTGATGATGTCACCTAATTAGATAATAAAAGATCTGCAAGCAAACAACCAAGCTCTGAGAGCATCAAGGACTCCACAATTGAACCCTGAGTTACATATATTCTCTTCTATTGGTACAAGCCTTAATTTCAGATATTTGCCAGAGGTGAAACAATTAAAAAACTGCTCAAAACAGGAAATGACAATAGAATTTCCTAAAGGTAAAAAAAAATGCACAGAACTTAATATCTCCCATGAGTAGGTGATTGGGCTGAAAAATATATTCAGTTTTGTGTTTAAGAAGAGTTCCCATTATTCTTTCTTCTATGCCTCCACCTTGTTGCAAGGAGAATTGTTCTTAGCATGTTGTCTGATGCTACTTCTGACTTTCAAGAAACAGAGTTCCACACAATCAAGATAATTCTTCTTAATTTAGACCCTGCCCCAAATAAGTGCTTGTGCTAAACAAAATCAAAATCCATGCCACAAAATTTCCAAATATACAAGCAAACCATGGGTAGTGTTGCCCATTTGTTTCTGATTAAATTTGTGACAGATGTTGTTCTGTCCAATTTTATTTTCCATAAATTATGAACTTTAGGCAGAAGGTGCAGGAGGCTGTGGAAGAAGAACTGATGTGTCGTCACCTTATTAGTCCACCAGCTGCTCAGTCTGCCTCACTCTCCAAGATGGGGCAGAAGGTGGAGCCATCATTAAACCGGCTATAGTGGTTCAGCTACATCAACTAAAATGATGAAAAGGCTATTGGAAAATAATACATGTCACTGTTTACCAAAGACAATGTACATGTCTACTTACATCAAAGGATTCATTTCAAAATACAATAGTTTGGATATTTTGGTCAAAGTTTATAAATTTTTGGTTTCAAAATTAAATACTCGTTTTGGCTCTGGGCACCCAAGATATGTATCTCACCTTTTGTCCATCACATTGTCAATGCATTCTTTCAATTTATCTTCCATCTCCTCTTGCTGTGCTTGCTCATCTACTGCTTCCCCTCCTGAGAAAAGCAGCAGAAGAAAAGAAAAAAGATCAAAGCTGTATTAGACCAGCCAGACTCAGAACCTGGAATTCCTACAACCTTAGAATAAAGAGGACATGGGGTTAGAAATCAGGTCTGAATGGTACTGGCAGAACTGCAAAAAGGATTCTTTATGCTAGCAGTTCAACAAGCTTTTTGTTCCACACACTTGTTCGATAGGGTTTTGGCAGTTCTTGTTCTAGAACACATTGTTCTAGAACACATTGTTCTAGCTGTGCTCTTATTTTAAAAGAATTAGTTCAGATGAAATTAGTAACGGGTAAGATTGTAATAATAGCATAAAAATGCTTACAATTTTTTAAATCATTCAGCTGAAAGTCATTCAGGCCATCAGCTTGTGCAATAAATCCCATGTAAGGCATTTTTAGAGCCCTGATTTTTAATTCCGAAATTTACCATATTTTTCGCACTATAAGGCGCTCTGGACCATAAGACACACCTTCTTTTCCACCCCTAAAATACACTCAATTTATTAAAAATAAGCAAAAGTTGCCAATAACAAAAATACATTGTGTTGGGTTTGAAGATTAAATAGGCATTTATATAACCAGTGTTTTTTCATTATGGAATTTCATTGAGAATTCAGCACTTGCAAGCTAATACTGTACATATCTATATACCAGATTAGAAAAGTCTGGTCTATGGCTTTTTCAGTATATAGAACAACCAGATTTTTGAAACCACCTTTTGCCGCCACTCACCAGTCACTTCCTCAGCTATACTGGTACTTTCACTGGCACTGCTGTAATGACTGAGCACTTCACTAGCTGCTTCATCATCACTTGCTGGAGTCTCCATCTTGGGGTTGCTACGAGAACCTAAAGGAAGACATAAAGAAGATCACAATTGATCACCTAAAATGAATTCAGAACTTGTCTAGCAAATGTTGTATCTGAAGAATGTGAAGTGCATTATCTTTATTCCAGGGAAAGACAATTTGCCAAGAAATAATTTGCCATGATGTACGTATAATCACGACAATCTGGTCACAAGACCACCACAAATGTTACCATCCGTGATCAGAAATCTAAAAAATCAAGAGTAGTAATATTATTTTCACTTCATTTCATAGAACTCACTAACTTTCTAAAAGATGACTAAAAGATAACTATTGCAACATATATTTGTACCTGAAAAACTCCTTTGGAATTTTTGAGATGGAATAGCTTAATTCAGAGATAACATAGCTGTTTGGATTCACATACCCTCAGTTTATTAAGACTGCTTAATAAATTAGCATTCCTCAATGTGTCCATCATATTATAAGGGAAACTGGTGAAGGTTGAGGTATATGACCTGCGAGGTATATCAGGATTTAATTTCCTTTCTACTCTTACCACTAATGCATTTCTTCTTTTCATCAATAACATTAATATTTATATTATGCTTTAGAACTAAATCAAGAAATGGCAATTACTCTATCTTAGAATATACAAAAATACAACATAGAAAAGTTATCAACTCCAAGCTTAAGGGCGATTCAAACAACTACCCATTTCACACACATAAAAGAATAAACTACGAAACTTACTGACAATGATATCACAAGCAAAATTAAGCAATATGCAACATAAAAGTCAGAATATGGGCCACCAAGGCTAGTTCTGGAACCACATGTACTTCAGATCTAGGTCAGGAGGCAGAACCTATGGTCCCTTTCCTCTTTTTAAAAGTACATTTCCCCAAATAATATATCTCTTTCAATAATATCCCATTGTTGTTTTAATTTACGGCCAGAATATTTAATTATTTTAATACTGTTTTTTAAATTTTGTATGCTTTGTTTTTACTTAGGCTGTGCACCGCCCTGAGTCCTATTTGGAGAAGGGCGGTATAGAAATTTAAACAAATAAAATAAAATAAATAAATTTCCCCTTCCAATCTATAATAAACTTATAAAATTATCTGTCCCAAAAGTTAACACAAGAAGAACGTTGTCTTACCTGAACGTTCATTTTCAGCCTCACTGCGAATGCAATCCACATATGGGTTGTTTTCCCCATCGCTTGTCTCTGACTGGGTAAAATTTCTTGAATATCTCCCTCCGTGCTGTGGCCACGCCCTGCTGTCCCATGATGCATCAGTCTTTGAACGAAGGCGCGACCACCTAGGTGAAGTTAGATTCAGGTAAGTAAATACAATGGAGTTAAAAGAACTAGAACCGGTAGAAATATGAAGAAACAAATGCAACAAAGGGTGGGGGTGGATTGCATTCGCAGTGAGGCTGAAAATGAACGTTCAGGTAAGACAACGTTCTTTTTCCAGCTCACTGCTCATGCAATCCACATATGGGATATACCAAAGTTCAGATCCCAAGGGCGGGAGATAAATCGCTCCCAGTGACCTGGCCTGCGAGGACACTTTGCAGGACACGCCGTCCAAATGAAGCCTCAGCTGAGGCGTAAGCATCGATCTTATAGTGTCTAATAAATGGCGTAGCAGAGGACCAGGTGGCAGCCCGGCAGATATCCGAGACCGATGCCTGTGTAGCCCAAGCGGCCGACGTTGCAGCGCTACGCGTAGAGTGAGGCAAAACACGAGGAGGGACAGGACAGCCTCGTTGTTCGTAAGCCGTGGCGATGCACTTCTTGATCCATCTGCCTACAGTAGACGGAGATATCTTTTGACCTAGGTATGAAGGATGAAAAGAAACTAAAAGTGCCTCAGACTTCCTGAACGATTCAGTTCTACGAATGTAACGACGTAAAGCCCTGCGAACGTCAAGGGTATGCCAGTCCTTCTCTCGTAGGTGCTTGGGCGAGGGACAGAAATCTGGAAGCACGAGCTCTTGGGCACGATGGAAATAGGTGTTTATTTTAGGCAAGAACGTAGGATCCAGGCGCAAAATCACAGTACTGGGTTGAAAGATGCAGAGATCTTTTCTAATTGACAATGCGGTAAGTTCGGAAACCCGTCTTGCAGAGGTGATCGCCAAAAGGAAGGCCACCTTGTAAGATAAGTACTTGAGAGGAATAGAACCCAAGGGTTCAAAGGGAGGAGACATAAGGGCCTGCAGAACAAGTGGGAGGTCCCAGGACGGGTAACGATGGACAGGCGGTGGACGGAGATTAACGGCCCCGTGGAGAAAACCTTTAATCGACGGGTGCAGAGACAGAGAAGAATAAGGAGGACATCTGATGACCGTGGACAAGGCAGCAGTTTGACGTCGAAGGGTAGACGGTGACAAACCCTTGTCGAGACCTGCTTGTAAGAAGCACAAAATATCCACAATCTGAGCCGAGGTAGGGTCAACTAATTTGTCAGCGCACCAGGAACAGAAGGATTTCCATGAAGACTCATATATTCGAGAAGTCGAAGGTCTCCGTGAGGCTTGGATGGTATCTATGACAGAGTCCGGAATACAGTCTTTTTGCAGAATGACCCGCTCAAACGCCAGACGGCCAATTTGAGCCATCCTGGGTCTGGATGAGCGATGGCCCCTTGACGAAGTGACAGACGTTCTGGCGGAATCACCCACGGCGGGTGGATTGACAACGCTACCAGATCCGCGTACCATGGGCGGCGGGGCCAATCTGGCGCCACCAAAAGGAGCTCCGCTTGCTCCTCCAGCAGTTTGCGTATCACCTGAGGGATCAGGGGGAGTGGAGGAAAGGCGTACAAGAGACCCGGTGGCCAGTGGCACCTGAGTGCGTTGTGATCCTCCGCCGCCTGACACGGGTAGCGAGTCACAAATCGAGGCAGTTGAGCGTTTGACGTGCTGGCAAAAAGGTCCACCACGGGAACGCCGAAGATGAAGCAAGCTGTGCGGAACAGCCCGGGGTGAAGTTGCCATTCGGACTGGTCTATGGTCCGTCTGCTTAGCCAATCGGCCCTGGTGTTCTCCACGCCGGAAATGTGATCGGCCCTCAACGATAGGACGTGCGTCTCCGCCCAACGCAGAAGGCGTTCGGACTCCAGCATCAGGGGTCTTGACCGAGTGCCCCCTTCTTTGTTTATATGGGCCTTCGCTGCGATATTGTCCGTTAGGACAAGGACGTGATGGCCCGACAAGTGAGCTTGAAAATGACACAGAGCTAGACGAATAGCCCTCAATTCCAAAAGGTTGATGTTGAGTCGTCTCTCTGCCCCGGACCAGCGGCCCTGTACAATCTGGTTGTGAAGATGGGCCCCCCATCCTTGGAGGCTGGCATCCGAGGTCAAGGTCAGGCGTTCTTGAACCAGGAAGTGCGAACCTTTGTGAAGGCCCGGTCCTAACCACCAGCGAAGGGAGAGACGAAGTTGAGGCGGAAGGGGCACCTTGCGTAGGGAGTCGCTTTGGCCTGATCGTTGGTAGGGGAGGAGGAACCATTGTAACGGTCTTGTGTGACGACGAGCCCATGGCACAATTGAGAAGGTCGAGACCATTTTCCCCAGCAACTGAGAGAGATGAAGGAGAGGAATGGACTGTTGCGATAGGGCTAGGTGGATTAAGTCGCAGATGCTTTGAATTCTGTCCGGGGAAAGAAAAACTTGCCCCTGTACGGTGTCTATAATCGCTCCGAGGTGCAACAGAGTGGTGGAAGGGTGAAGGTGGCTTTTCGGGAAGTTTATTGAAAAACCATGAATCTGAAAGGCCTCGACGACATTGCGAAGATCTTGAGACGCTTGATTCCTGGATGATGACAGCACCAGAATGTCGTCGAGGTAACATAAGACCCTGACAGGAACCTTCCGGAGGGAGGCCGCCACTACCGCCACCAACTTTGTAAAGGTTCTCGGGGCTGATGATAAGCCAAAGGGCATGGCGCAGTACTGATAGTGTTCCTCCCCAATCTGGAAACGCAGAAACCTTCGGTGGGCAGGCCGGACCGGAACATGCAGGTATGCCTCCCTGAGGTCGACCGACTGGAGGAAATCCCCTCGACGAATTCCTCCAAGGATGGACCTCAGAGAGTGCATTTTGAATCTGCGGTAAGATACTGACAGATTCAATTGTTTCAGGTTGAGGATGGCCCTCCAACCGCCGGAATGTTTCGGAACCAGAAAGAGGGTTGAATAGAAGCCCTCGCCCCATTGGTCTGGAGGAACAGGTTCTATTGCCTTGATGTGTAATAGGTGGAGAACTTCCGTTCGAAGTTGGGCATCCAGCCCCATTTGGAGAGGAGGGCAGGAAACGTGGCGAGATGGAGGGCGATCCAAGAACTCTATGGCCAAACCCTCGGACACCGTGCGAAGAATCCACGCATCCGTGGTCGACTGTTCCCATTGATGACGAAAAAGATGGAGTCGGCCACCAATGGGATCCAACAGGGTATAGTCACTTTCCTCTGCGAAATGGACGGAAGCCGGAACCACGGAAGGGTCGCTTGGCTGTGGAGGTGTTCCGGGACCTGTCTCGAAAACGCTGGCGGTCGGACGAACGGTCAGGACCTTGGAAGTAGGAACGTTGGGAGTAGGGAGCTCCTGAACCCGATGAAGCTCGAAAGGACTGCCGCTGATAATAGGGTGTATAGCGGCGCTCAGGGCGACGATAGGACGACGTAGGCATAACCTTGCGTTTGTCCCTGTCCTCGACCAGGACGGGATCTAGGGCGGCACCAAAGAGAGACGGGGCCTTATACGGAGCCGCTGCTAGCTTCCATTTGGCCTTGGAGTCGGCTCTCCAGTTCCTAAGCCAAAACAGGCGCCGTGATGTTATAGATGAAGCCAAAGCCCTGGAAGTGAATTTGACCGAGTTCAAAGATGCATCCGCCGAATACTCGGTGGCAGCAACAATTTTGTTCAAATCTTGATGAAGGCGCGTATCCTCCGGTGGTAATTTGTCCTGGAGTTGCCTCAGCCAAAGGAGCGTCGCTCGATTGAAAAAGGACGTGGCCGT